GGGGGGGGGGGGGGGGGGGGGGGGGGGGGGAGTGACAGAACATGAAAACTAAAGCATATGAAAGCACCCAAATTGCCTCCAGGTGGACATCGATGTTTTCGCCCCAATTGCTTCACGTACCCCCACCCCCCAGGTCATCGTCATGGGAATGTCTTCGCCCAGGAAGCAGTGTTTGGCTTCGCTTTGACCGCCTCCTTTCAGAAAACGGTGCATTGCGCTCTCGCGTCCGCCCTGCATAGCTTTAACAAATACAGCCAACGGGCTACTTTGCACACTTAGCAAATATTAAACTTCCCACAAAAAAAAATCAGCATTAAAATGTAAGGGGAAGGGAGAAAGTGAATTATAGAGCAGAACCTCGAATTCAGCAAAAGACCCCCGTTAACGTGGCGTAGATTATATCCAGCTAAAATAACAAATAAAAAGACAGACGTAACCAATAATGAAATTCAGTTTTTCCTGCAGAAGCGGAATATGCACTTATCTCATGAAATAAGGGGTTTTCGATCTAATTTATTTTAATTAATCTGATTCCGTTCCTTTGATGGCTGCCGTATTGATCTTAATCATTGTTTAGCCTTCCCCGGCCTGCCTTTTGTGTCACACTCCTGCACCCGTCGTTAGCGACCCACTTCGTCACACCGCCGTGGATAAAATCTGCCGAACGCATGGAGGACGGAGGTGCTTCAAGGCTGAGCTGAAGGACGCAACTGTCAGGTTGTTTTAAGGGGCCTCTTCCCGTCTCAAAACGTTCTCCAGTTTTCAGGGAGGCAACCTCGTAGTTCATTTGGGGTCCGAGCAGCCACAGTGCTGGATCCCTATCATGATTCTCATTTGTCATTTTCCTTTTAATTGTCAATCCCTGTTAGTCATTGCATTGTGTTTATGTTCATCGCCATTTGTCCAGTTCCGTAAATGACATTGTTATTTACTGTTAGGTATGACTTATTTTAGATAAGCCTCCTCTAATCAAAGTGGAGATCATTATTCCACAAATAGTTCAATCATCGTATAAACACACCTTTGCATAAAAGCCCATGTACTGCTTTTTGTGTCCTTGCGTCTATCAGTACATGAAAAACCAACACAGCTGTATTCTCTGTCCTGGAGCCATGGTCAGCCCAGTTCATCCAGGGCTCCCACGGTGAGGGAGAGAATGTGAGGGGATCCGCACATCGGCCATGTGGAGACCGGAGCGTCAGAGAGGCCCCAGACCTGCTGCCCGGTGGGCACATTAATACTAACTACTGTTTGAATATCCATCCATCTTCCAGCTGCTTATCCGGGTTGGTTTTGGGGGCGGTGTGGCAGGAACTGGCAGTGCAGGGGTGCACCCTGGATGGGATGTCAGGACCGTCTGAACATGCTGCCTGATGTTTGACACATTAAAGGACCCGACGGTGCACAAAGGAAGCGTGTGATTCTATCAATCCCACATCACTCTGTGGAGAAAAAAACACCTCATAACTATTTGAGAAACCGCAGCAGGCCATCAAAAACATACAATATCTCTGATGAGCGTTAGAATAGGTGGGTGTGTTACTGATACTGTCATTAAGATTTTAGATGCTGCGGAGTGAAAGGTGCGGCTGTGGGCCCCGGTCAGGAGGACACCCTTGCGCGAAGGACGGGCTGCTAATTTGTTTATTAATCTGCCACCGGGGCTGGCGGAGGAGGTACTGGAGGGGAGCCTTAATGGCGTCAGACACCGATGACAGGTGTTCATTAATGAGCCTTATTGCAAATGAACGTTTTAATTTCCGTGCCCGACGGAAGCCTGGGAAACCGTGTTGAGGAGGGGAGGTGGGGCCGGGGTTGGGGGGTAGGCAGGGCCAGAGGGAGGGGGGTTGATTAATGAATTCCAGCGGAAACGCTGGCCGTTTCCCTGGCAGGACGTGAGGGCCCCGAGCTGCTGGTGCCGTGCGGTCGAGTGCGATAACCGTTTACAAAGATGGAGAAGCAGGACAGCCTGCAGCAAACACCTGCACTGGCTTCCTGCACACCTGTCAGCCAGTGGGGCAGCTGTGACTGGGGGGGGGGGGTTACAGACTGCTGGCAGGTGTAAATAAGAGGGCCGTTTTGAGGACTCCCTCCCGTACGCCACCTGCTGGCTCCCCCCAGTGACTGAGAATGGCAGTGCTGTTACTGAACGTGTACATCTAAGTGTTTAATTAGGGGGAATTGCGTACTGAACCACCTGTCACTCTAATAAGATACCGATACAATCCCTCTAACTCTGACATGATGTTACAGACTCCACCCACCGTGGATTAGTCATGTGACTCTCCATTTATATTAGGCTCATCTCAGGTGTGGTATTTGGGCTCAAACAACCCGAGATTGACAGTATTTTTTTGTTAGTCATCAGACCGTTAAGAGGAATTCACCACAAATGGATAACGGGCATTTTGATTTACAAAAATCACTGGGAAATGTTTCTGTTTGGTTTATTGTGATTTTTCTGATGCTGAGTTTTCCCTGGATCTTTGTACTGTGGTGAATCATGAGTCCAGTCTAGATTAATATCACAGTGTTTACTCTGAGTTTTACAAAACAGGCGAGTGCATGATGATGCCCACACACCAGAAGGGCAATCACAAAAATATGTCTTCCCATCCCAAGAGATATCTATGGCAGTAAAAATGTATAAAATTATCTAAATTATAATTCTGCTTCGAAATATATGTACCAGTAGTTTGTTTTCAACTAGACTAATAATAGGGAGAAAAATATTCACATTAAACAGACTTAATGTTAAGACACAGAAATGTCATGTCATTGTGTTACATCAGCCGCACCTCACGCTATTCATGAATAATAACCAGGCACAATGTAACCCGGAGCCTGGTCCTGCCTTCTGCAAACACCTGACACTCTCCTGCCGGCTTAAAATGGCTAAAGCCTCGATGTCATATCATACACTGAAAATTATTTTTTCACTTGCTGGTTGAAAAAAATTAAATCGCAGTTAGGGCACAGGATTATAGTTTGATGAACAAGGTGTACAAATTAAGAAAAAAAAACCGGCAGTGCATTTATAAAGATTTTTTTCTTTATATTTGTAGTATTTACTGACTAGACTATTTCTGTGATAGTAGTGATATTACAAGTACCTATAGATAAATGTGTTTTGTTGTGATATGAAATTATTAAGGGGTCGTCTTTATTTCTAAGATGGTAGTTAAATCCGAGAGTTGCTGGTTCCAGCAGCGTTGACTGCATGGCATTCACTGAAGAACTTAAACCCGATTAGCACAAAAACATCGGAAGTCATTTAGGGCAAAACCGACAGAAGCAACACGAGACCGAATTACAGAGTGAAATGAAGCGTCCGCCGAGAGACGGGACTGCGGCTTCGGCTCCTGATCCCGTTTCTCACTGTGCAACTTTAAAGCGCTTTGAAGTCAGGCTGGAGTACAAACAGAAACCTTTAAAACGGTCTGGAGATTTGAGACAACGCTATTGTTAACTACTCATTCTCAAAAAGAAATTCTCTTATTATGCGCATTAATTAGCAAATTAAAATGTATTATCCTTAAAACAAACACGTTTATACATCTGTGCAGAAGAATGTTTTCGGCGATTTTGCAAAATTGTAAATTGAGTATTTTTTCCTGTTATGTTAAAGTGTGTTTTTAAAATGAAATATAGACCTATAATATAATCCAGGCAATGTCTTTAAGAAATTATCATCTCCGCTCAAGTTACGATGCCATGCTGGTCAACCGAGTCTCAGACCAGAGGTGGGAAGACAGTTTTTAAAATCCGATTTATTATTTTTGTGCAGTTGTTAGGGAACAAATGACTTGCGTTTGATATACGCTTAACCGTATAGGTTAATGGCCAATGCAACGGACTTCCAGATTTTTTTTTACTTCAAACATGGTACGGTGACATATATGAATGAAATGTAATAATTCGTTTCGCATTAAAAAGCCCCGGAAAACGCTGCACGGTCAGCAGTAGTTCGCAGCCCCTTAGGGTGGCTAGGGTACGGTGCCCCACTCCGTGTGTTCATTAACTTTAACGATTTCCTACACGGGTAGTGTACAGCAATGCTGAATAAGAGCAAATACTGTACACGCTTCCACCTTTCCAAATATACCAGTCACTTTAAAGTAGATTTCAGAAACGATCCCTGTGATGCATTACAAGAGCGTGGCCGTCTGCAAGGATTATACATATAGAATAAGAAAATCTGCGTGCAGCCCCGTCTGTTTAACGGCCACTCGGGCTCCAGCCGATGCGAAAACGACGGGAAGCAGCCACGGTGTTTGATAGCGTCCTACTGCCCTTTCGGAAAACGGCCGATGGACCTAAGCGCGTCTATTCCCGCAAGCCAGCCTCAGTTATCAACGTAACTCAATACGAGCCTCAGTGAGCTCATTCCCCGATAGCCCTTCAAGCGGAGCCTGCAGCTTTTACCGCTGTATACGGTCTTTCAGAAGAAAGGTGGCAGAATTTTTGTAGAGGCAAATGCATTTAAAATGTTTATTCTGATAAACCAAAGGCAACAATAAACAACCTTTATTCAAGAAGGGGTACGGTTTGAAGGTCATAGTGCAGATGACATGTAGGTAGTCACACAACAAGAATTCATTATTGTCATTTTGTGTAATAGCTACTACTACTAGTGCTACTTATATTAAGTGAGCATTAAATATAGTTAAGTTTATGATCCATAATGTGCAGGTTACTAGGTCTTGTCCAGATTTGGGCTCTGCTATAGAGTCTTTGAAGTGGGAGCTTAACCTGAATGCAGCACATCCATCTATCCATCCTCTTATCCAGTGTGATGCAGGTGCTCACTCCCCCCTCATACACGCACACACACACACACACCCAATTCGACCAAAACCTGTGCCAAGCGTTAGCTGAGTGTAACCAAATGCAGGAGATGCCACATCTCCGTTAATACATGTTTAAAGGTTGTGACGTTGCATGAATGGTTTTAAAATGCGTCAGTGGGAATGGTGAAAGTGAGCGTCACTCGTCAAGGCCGTGTCACGCCCCGGCTAGGGGCCAGGCCACACGACACATGCTCCCGCAGCTCTGCATGACGGCTCCTTGTCTTCGCGCTTTCATAGCGCTCGAGTGTCGAGCATCTGTCACATACTTCCGGGGCGGATGTAATCCTTTCCCAGCTGATTCTTGCAGAAAACAGGTTTCTTGGAGCTCAATGTGTGAAGGAAAGCTGTGATCACCTATTTAACGGCGTGTTTTATCCTTCAGCTGAGCGAGAGCTGCCATACCATTCCCTTGCCACTTGGGGGCATGCTGTCTACTCCCCTAGGGCCAATTCCAGAATTCCTTTAGTAGTAGATTGCCTGGTTTTTAAATGGATGATATGCAGTCATCTTACAATTGAAGAATCTGATGATCTTAATAGATGCAGGGCTGAAAATGTGCCAGCGTGACATGGATGGACAGGCTCATCATCCTCAGTTTACGCTGCGTGTTTGTGATGAGTCAAATCAGCGAGCTCTAGAAAACATCACTGTCCAGACTGTCAGAATGGCGGCGTGTGGCCGTCACGTCTCCTGTCAGTTGAGCTTGGGTTTTGTGCGACCAGCATCCTGTCACAGACGACGTTTAATCCATGGCACGGATTGGACGTGTGATGAGAAAGTGCCACCTTAGTGGCTGGTCTGTGTGGCGGGGGAAGAAACATGAGCACCGATGGGCCTTTATCACAAAAATGATATCCGGGTGAGGACGGAAACATCAGCCAACGTCAGGAAGCTTTCGGTGAAATCGATCATTAGAAAATGTCTGTTAAAAGCAGAGGTGGACCTGCGTTAAGGTACAGAAACTGTCTCACTCCGAGATGCACCTTAAATACCACCTCCCATCCCCCAGCCAGTATCACCATCACTGCCATTAGTATTGTGGTCAGATGCTTCTCTTCTGAGAGCACGTCATCATTGCTTTAGTGGGACCATCTTAAAACCCACAATGGGAAAAAGTTGCCGGTCACCTTAACCCGACATGGACGGGGCCATTAGGGGCAGCTTTGGCATCTGGTTACTGGGTTCATACGCACTGAGCTTTAATTGTGGCTCTTATGCGTAGCAATCGGAGCCTTCCGTCTGGCTGGAAATTAAGCCGCATGACATCATACATTTGATGCTTTCTGAAGACTGTGATCGCTGATAAGCCTTTTCCCCATTAATAAACTGAAATATGTGATATCAAGCATTTTAGAGTGATGAAAAGCCAGCAGCC